TAGAGAGCAGGGTATTAGGCATCAGAAAACTCCTCCAAAGACTCCTTAGTTAAATGGTTTAGCAGAGAGGATGAACAGAACTCTAGTTGAGAGGGTTAGATGTATGCTTTCAGATGCTAAGCTGTCAGATTCCTTTTGGGCAGAAGTACTTAATACTGCTGCTTATGTTATCAATTTATCTCCTGCTGTTGCTTTAGATGGTGATGCCCCTGACAGAGTTTGGACTGGTAAGAATGTTTCTTATGATCATCTTAGAGTCTTTGGGTGTAAAGCCTTTGTACATGTTCCTAAGGATTAAAGGTCAAAGTTGGATGTTAAAACTAGGCAGTGTATCTTCATTGGTTATGGTCAAAATGAATTTGGCTATCGTTTCTATGATCTTGTTGAAAAGAAACTTGTTAGAAGCCGTGATGTTGTGTTCTTTGAAGACCAAACAATTGAAGATTTTGACAAAGCTGACAAGGCTGATTTTCAGAGTAGTGAGAGCTTAGTTGATGTTAATCCAGTTCCTTTGACTATTGCAGTGGAAGAAAATCTTCATAATGATGAAAATCAAGTTGATAATAAAGATGGTGATCATGTTCAAAATGACCGGCATGATGTTGTTGATGCTCCAGTGCAAGATGATGTGGTTGTCCAACAACCAATTATAGATGCTCCAGAGAGTTCTCTTAGACGATCTAGTAGAGTGAGAATTCCTTCATCTCATTATTCTCCCAATGAGTATGTACTCTTGACTGACGGGGGAGAACCTGAGAGTCTTGATGAGGCCATGGAAAGTGGAAAAAGAAAGGTGGTTTGATGCTATGGAAGATGAGATTAAATCCTTGAATGATAATCATACCTTTGATTTGGTCAAGTTACCTAAAGACAGAAAAGCTTTGAAAAACAGGTGGGTTTTTCGGGTGAAACATGAAGATGGTAATCCAGTTCCACGGTACAAAGCTAGATTAGTTGTCAAGGGATTTAATCAGAAAAGGGGATTTGATTTTGATGAGATATTCTCTCCAGTTGTGAAGATGTCATCCATTCGTGTGGTTCTAGGCTTGGCTGCAATTCTAGATTTAGAGGTTGAGCAAATGGATGTTAAAACTGCTTTCCTCCATGGTGACTTAGATGAAGAAATTTATATGGAGCAACCGGAAGGTTTTGAAGTCAAGGGTAAAGAGAATTATGTTTGCAAATTGAAGAAGAGCTTGTATGGTTTGAAACAAGCTCCCAGGCAGTGGTACAAGAAGTTTGGTTCTTTTATGAGTCAACAGGTCTTCAAGAAGACTTCTTCAGACCATTGTGTTTTTGTGCAAAAGTTCTCTGATGGTAACTTTATTATTGTGTTGCTTTATGTTGATGACATGCTTGTTGTTGGTCATAATACTTGCAGGATTCAGAAGTTGAAGCAAGAGTTGAGTAAGTCTTTTGCTAGGAAAGACTTAGGACCAGCAAGACAGATTCTTGGCATGCAGATTGTCTGTGATAGAAAGGCCAAGAAATTGGTATTATTACAAGAGAAGTACATTCAGAAAGTACTTCGCAGATTCAGCATGGACAAAGCTAAGGTTGTCAGTACACCTTTAGATATGCACTTCAAATTGAGCACGAAACAGTGTCCTTCTAGTGATGATGAGAAGGAAGATATGAAGAAAGTTCCTTATGCTTCAGCTGTTGATAGTTTGGTGTATGCGATGGTTTGTACAAGACCGGATATTGCTCACGCTGTTGGAGTTGTTAGCCGTTTTCTTTCTAATCCGGGAAGAGAACATTGGAATGCTGTGAAGTGGGTTATGAGATATCTCTGTGGTACTTCTAGTATGAGTTTGTGTTTTGGTACAGGGAAGCCTATTATTTGTGGTTATACTGATTCAGACATGGCTGGTGATGTTGATACTCGCAAGTCTACTTCAGGGTACTTGGTTTGTGTTGTAGGAATGGTCGGTGTCTGTTTGTGTTGTAGGAATGGTCGGTGTGGTCCCCGATGTAATCAAGTGTGCTTTTGCCCATTTTAAGTTGAGAATTCTTGATATGGTTGACTTTGATCAATATATTGAGTTTCGAGCGTCGAATGAAAATTTTGTCAGTTCCATTGCATCCGAAATGTCGAGTTTGACTAATAAGGTGGTTAGTAAGTATTCCGAGGCCCTATGTTGAGTTTTAGGTGTATGGCCATTTGGGCAAGAAGTTGAGTTTTAAGCCTTAAGAGTGATCCAAAAGG